CAAGACTCCAGGGAAACTGGGGGGGGGGGGGACCATGTCCTTGGCACCCCCACCCAGGGGCCCGGATGCTGTTGGGGTCCTGGCCTTTCTTTTGGCGGTGGGGAGCTCCAGGAGTCGCTGAGGATGGGAAGGGAGGACAGATGCGCCCCTGGCTGCACGCTAAATGCCCTGCTTTGCCCCCTCGTCCTTTGCAAAGCCCCCCCGCGCAGAAAGGGGCAGGCTGGGGTTCACGCTGCCTCGACAGCATCCTGCAAGGTAGGAAACCTACTTGGTTTCAATCCCCATAATCCCCAGCCAGCCTGGCTTTTGGGCAACGGTTCAATTTGCCAACCCTAGGAAACCTCGCAGCCCACCCGCCAAGGAGCGGAGGCAGCGCCCACCTTCAGGTACTGGGGAGCTTCGAAGGGCACCAGCTGCGACAGGAACTTGAAGAAGAAGATGAGGGCCTTCCTGCTGCCGCCGTGGAGGCTGCTGCCATTCCCAAAAGTGAGCTGGAAGCAGAGAGCGGTGCCTGGAGCCCAACTGGCCAGCACCCCTCCCTCCCTCCCTCCCGGCCCCTGATGTCCAGCACAGCTGCCCGGGACCCTCTTCTCAGCCCCATGGAGCAAGCAGCCTTGAGAAGCTGGATACGTGGCACACGGCCTTTCGGTCCACCTTCCCCCGGGTGTCCCTGGACCAAGGCCTCGGGAGGCCTGGACGAAGGCAGGGTCACGAGGCTCCAGCTTGGCTCCCCTTGGGCAGCCTTACTTCCGCTCGCCTCCTGCAAAGCCTGCAGGCCCAAGACCCTCCTCCCCAGGAAAGAACCCCCCTCCCCCGTGGCTCTCACCTTAAACCATTCGGCGTAAGGGGGGAATAAGGCAGGGCCTTCCAAGGCTGCTTGGCGGACAATTAAGAACGCGGTGATCAAGCTCTCCAGGTCGTAGTTGGCAAAGGCCTTCCGCAAGAGACCCCCCAGGAGGTCTAGGAGAGACACAGGACGGTCTCAACCCAACTGCAGCTAAAGGAACCTGAAACTCCCGGAGCCTCAGTTCGAGGCCAAATCACAATATGGCCCAGTTCTCAGAGCCTCCCAATTCCCAGCCGCTGCCGGTACCTTTAACCAGCTGCTCTGACTGGGAGTGGCAGACTAAGAAGGTGGAGACGCACGAGAGGACGTGGTGCCAGTTTACTTCGCTCGTCTCCAGGACCTGCTGCAAGCGCCGGGTCAGTTCCTCCGGCTGGAAGACCACGAAGACCTGGGAGGGGGCGGGATGGCTTTTGGAATCGTGGGGAGCAGCTTTCTGAATGCTGAGCCCCAACTGCCCCCCAAGTGAGCTTTGCGCTGAGGAGTTCACAAGTGGGGGGCTCCCAAGACATCGCCACGGATACTGGCAAATTCTTCATCTTCCCCATGGAAAACTCCTACTCTTCTTCCTCCCACCCTCCCCTGGATCGAAAACAGGAAGCGTCCGGGGGGGGGGGGGGCTTCCTGCTCCTTTCCCCTCCTACTGCTGAGAGCCTCCATCTGCCCTGCCAGCTTCTTGGCAGGCAGAGCTGCTGCTGGGGCACTTCCTGGCTTTCCTGCCCTTCTGGGCCAGAGAACCAGTTCTGCAGTAATCGAAAGGAACTGTTTCTGAGCGGTGCCAATGCTGCCCGGGTCGCACGGCGGGCAGCGTAGAAAGAAAACTGGCAAAGCGCAGCCTGCTTTATTAAGCAGCCTTCACTGGAAAGGAGCACGTACTTTGCGGTATAAGGTAGCAAGCAGCGAGCTGGTCCTGGCAAAGCTCCATTCCCTCTGCAGATGGATGGCATCGGAGACTGCTCAGAGAGAGGGAGGGGGGGAGGGAGGGAGGGGAGACAAGGTTGGTTTCACAGAACAGGAAGAGCCAGGCTGCAGAAGGAGACTCTTCACTGGATTGCATCTGGTAAAATGCCGTTCCTTCCTTCCGAGCAGCTCTTCAGGACACATAGACACAGACACACACACACAGACACACACACACACACACGTCCTTCCCTCCCCCTCCCCTTGATCACTGCAGAATCCGAGCCCCAGAGACAGAGAGTGGCCAGGTTCCATCACCTTGGCAGAAGGGCAGAACGCCAGAGCAACGGGGGGAAAAAGGGGATCTCAGATCAGATCTATCCATTGTTCAACTTTTCAGCTGGTTGCCCGAATTCCATCACCAACTTCCAGGGGAGCCTGGAATCGTAGCCTGCCCTGCCCCGCCCCACTCCAGCCCAAGAGCTGCTGAATGGAGAGACAGCCCCAGGGCTGGAGAGTCGCATTAACTTTTAACAACTCAGGAGTAAAACATGCATTCTGGCTTTGTCCTCACTTGAAGAACTTAGATAGATAGATAGATAGATAGATAGATAGATAGATAGATAGATAGATAG